GCGTTTCAATTTTCGTTGAAATAATGAATTTGTCTATTTATCCAAACCTTTCTCGTCTATTGCCTGCTACGCCTCCTAAAATTTTTATTTTGATGAGCCTAGAATATTACAATTTACTTATTAATTTACGCTCAAAATATCAATTTTCTTSTACAATTAATATTCACCACAGTTTGCATACTTGTATAATTGACGGTTATTAAAAAAATCTCATTTTTCCTGTTSGGAAYAATTTTATACGAAGCTATTTATTTGTATAAATAATCTATATGTTGGGGAGGCTTTTAACCATAAATCAAAGAAACCTAATTACTTCATCATCTGTACTTTCTTAGTTTTATTTATTTTATATGTATTTATTAATATAAATGAGAATATTTGTTAACTATTAAAAAAATTACATGCAGCACTAAATGTTAACAATCTGCAAAGAACGAAAACAATGCTTGACATTTTCTTGGTTTTCTTCAGACGTTTTACTATGCGGAATTAATTTATTCAACAATATGTAAATCCTATTATTATTCAGTTAATGAAACTAATTTAAAACAAAGCCTAAATTAGAAATGAATAACTAAACATATGTTACAAAAGCCCTTGTGTACCTTCTGAAACTTATTATTAAGCAAGCAGATATAAAATTATTCATAGGCAGACTTGGTTTTACCGATGATAATTGTGTCCTGTTCTACGTAATAGAACCATGATAATAATTTAGTTTTTTATGCAATTTCTAGCAGGCACACGCAAATTCGAGTGCATACATTATAGTGCAAAGTCGCGTAAAATGGCTGAATCTGAAAATCGAAAAACTGAAACATATAATTAATTGCCTAACCAACACAAACTTAATACATATAACTAACTCCTTCGGATATGAAAAAATAACATATTTTTGAAACTCGAGCAATACAGTATTATCCCATATTTGCTTATTGGTGTGCAGATTTAATAATATCCGCGGCTTTTTCAGCCACCATAGCAACAAATGCGTTGAGGTGTCCAGATATTTCACTCGGGATGACTCCTGCGTCTACCACTCGTAAGTTTTCAATACCGTGGACTTTTAAGTCGGGATCTACCACAGATTTTTCCGGGTCCACTCCAAACCTGGTAGTTCCTAGTATATGAAGTCCCTGCAATAAATTTAGTGAAAAGTCGAAACATAATTAACAGTTAATTAATATAATTACCGCAGCGGAAGTATATCTTATGGAACAAATCCACCAATCTTTGGAAAGTGCATCATAGTAAGGATCACAATCTGGCACGGAGGGATACAGCTGATAAGCTCCCAAACGCTTAAAACCCTCGGTTTCATTCAGTTTCAAGGCATATTGGATTGCGTTGTACATAATTTCCACATCATCATCATTTCCAAAATAATCGTTTTCAATCACTGGATAGTCTTTCGCACTGCTTGACTTCAAAGTTACCCTTCCGGTATTTTGAGGATGCAATAATAATAGAACCAGGGATAAATCGGTCGTAGAATCGAGAATATCTAATGTTTCCACGTAAGTGTCATTGTAACTAAAGAAAAATATTTTGTGGAGTATACAACGTTTTTGATGAAGAATGTGACTTACCCTAAGAATACTCCGGATGATTCAGAAGCCGCAGGTGGGCCACCGGCAATAATTTCTACTTCCGGAATTATACTATCATTCCCTTCTGAATTAAAGTAATTAACTGTTTGGATCCCGTATCCAGCAACGAGTGGTCGATGGTCGTCTCTCCATAAATCTAAATCCTCGAGCAGAGTATTATTGTACCATGTCCCGTTGGTTCTGGAAAAACA